AACCACTAGTCCGATTTTGCTCAAACAAATTTAAAAAAATTAAAAATTACAATTCCTTTAATCTGTTCATATAACGTTTTTCTATATAATCAACAGTTTTGCCGGTAAAAATAAATGTATGAAGAAAAAAAATATTTTTTGCCTAAAATATTAAATTTTTTTAAAACTGTTGATTATATAGAAAAACGTTATATGAACAGATTAAAGGAATTGTAATTTTTAATTTTTTTAATTTTGTTTGAGCAAAATCGGACAAGTGGTTCTCGAGTTATGTCAAAAAAAGACCACCAAAGGTGACAATTCCCCCTATATGATAGTTATATATATATCTCGATTCCTAGACGTGACCCAGCGAAACGCCGGGACACGTATAACTTCTTTTTTACCGATATAACTTTCCCCGGTAGTTTGAACCCTTCCCGATCACTGACCCCTACCATTTGTCTCACAGTGTAATTATTTCCGTTTGAGCGAAAAAATAAAACTCAATAATAATTCATAACATAATGATTAAATGGTGATTTAAATTATTTTTCTCATAATGATTACCTTCCCTGCGTTTAAAATTTGAAATAAAATAGTTTAGTGAAAGTACCACATTTCATTGCTTTTGGAGTGGTGCGTGACTAGTTACTATCGGACTGGTTCGTTTTTGGCGAAAAAGAACTAGTACTGAACTAGAAATTTGGTTCACTAGTTCGTGTTTTCCCTACAGGGAAGTGTTGCAGGTTTGCTTGCAAAAATCATATGAGAGAAAGCTGCACTGATTGTCTCAGCGAGTAAACATATGCAGTTTTCAGGAATCCGTACCTTACATATTTTGTTCTGTAGTTTTATTTTTTATTTAAATTAGTGAATTTTACATATTTTTATTTTAAGTTTTAATACCGATAAAATGTGTTTGTAAGTTATACGATAGTTATGAAAAAATTACTAATGAATTACAATAAATATTTAAAAACAAACATTAATATTTTTATTTTAACAATAGTTTATATTATTAACAATAGTTCACAGAATATTACTTATGAAGTATTTAAAAAAAAAAATTAAAATAAAACATTTAATAATACTATTAAAATGGTCTACGATCGTAGTCCACGTGCCTAGCCACGTTACAAAAAACCACGTGCCTAATGAAGGATTAATAAGTTATATTACACTGACAAATTTATGAATTTCAACATTTCACTTAATATTATCTACTTCCAAAATTATTGTACAAGTGCTATTAAAAAAAAATATCTATCATCTTGAGGCGAGCGCCCGCTTGTGGGGGTCAACATAATATAGTTATAACTTTAGAACTACTTGTTGTATAAACCTGAAATTCCCCAAACATATCCGTATATACTTGTCTTTAATGCTGCATTAAAACAAAATAAAAGTTTTTAACTTCATAACACAACTTTTGGATTTGTAAAAACCACCTCCTTAATTTTTATAAAAAATGTTAAAATATCCGCCATTCGTTTTAAATAAGTATTTGGCGACATGATAGCAAGGTTGCTAATATCTCACGGGGGTTGAAAGAAATAAAAAGATCATAATGTACAATTGTACAATTCAAATTAACTTTAATTTCAAAAAATTATGAATTCAACGATTATATACAAGCGATCTTGGTAATATATAAATGTATATTGAGTTTAAAAGAAGATCCGTTTCGGTGGACGGTCGCAGACGTATTGCTGCTTTGTTCTTACAAAGTGCGTGTGTTTGTAAATTCATGTTGACGTGTATGCGAAAAAGTTTCTTGAGGGATTTTAGAGCTCTATGAGCTCTCTCATCATGAACATGCCGACCCCTTGCACCGGTGCAATGTCCACTGAGGCATTTTGGAGGTCCTGCAATGATGTTACGGCCGCTGAAACCAGGTGATGAAGCTGTCGGCGATTCTTGTTGACCCGGCCACGAGTCACTCTAGACTTTCGCTGATTGGTTGTCTGTAGTTGTGCGGTTGGACTTTGCCGTTTGTAGTTCGCTGCGTGATTTTGGCTGCAGATGCAAACGCGCTGAGTTACACCCTTATGTGGTCGACCGACTTTTCTTTGCTCAGATACCTTTCATACGGCACTCGAAATCCGCTTGTGGCTGGGTTCACTTGTTCGGTGAAGTAGCGCGTGGTGTGACATTTTGCAAATCCGGCAACAGTTGCGCGAAGGGCATCTGGCGGTGGTGTGTGACCGTGCCAAACAATTTGCACAGTACTTGTGCACCCTCACTGCATCCAACCGTTTCGCTGTGTCCATCTTTCGGAAACATGGGCAGGCTTGTAGGGGGTGAAAGCGGCAGCATATTTGGCACTGGTATACGTCCGGTGATCTGAAAGAAATGAACAGTTTGGTTAAGAATGGGGACACAATTGAGATTAACTAAGTGCCAAGGGTAGTGTATCAATTCAATTCGTTTGATGGTTAGGATGGTAGCGAGAGTTTATCTAAGAAATGGGGGTTTAGGTGAGTTAATTATTGGACTATTGAATGGGCAGAACACAGAGTTTAACTATTGGTCGGGTATATATGCCTGTTTGGGTTTTTATATCGGCGACTCTAGCATGGTTATCTGCGTCTTTATGTACTTTAAGTATTATTCCTATACGCCATTCTTGTGGTGGTAATAGATCGTCTTTTATTACCACGAGTTCGCCCTCTTCAACATCCTTTTGGATATGCTTCCATTTATGCGTTTTATGTAATTCCCGCATGTATTCACTTTTCCAGCGTCGACTGAACTCGTGGTGAAGAATTTTCACCTTTTACCAGCGATTTGTGAGAGACAAATTCTCGGCAGTTGGCTCGGGTGTTGCACGTAAAGGTGCGCCTCGAAGAAAATGACCCGGAGTGAGGACTAGTAGGTCGGAGGCATCCTCGGACATCGGGGATAGAGGCCTAGAGTTTAATACTGCCTCTATACGGACGAGAAGAGTTGTGATATCTTCGAAGTTGAATTTATGCGTACCAGCGACTTTGGTGAAATGAGTTTTGACTCTCTTTACGCTGGACTCCCACAGACCACCCATGTGAGGGGCATGTGGAGGAATGAATTGCCACTCTACACCTTCAATACCAAATTTATCTACAATTTTGGAAGAGATATTGTTGAGAAATACATTAAACGCTGCCAAGAAGGCTTCTGTGGACAGATCAGCACAGACTTCCAAGTGGATTGCCTTCGTGGAGAAGCAAACGAACACGCACACGTACGTTTTTTCATATGGGTCGTTTCTGGTTAGTCCAGCTTTAACTAGAAATGGGCCTGCGAAATCTACTCCGGTGACAGTAAGTGCGGCCATTATTTGTGAGCGCACCTATTGTTTATATATTGGGCATGTTTTGCATTGAAAGATGCTATTTTTATGCGAGGTTTTAGTCTGGGAATGAGAAATTCTTCTTGCACCATACGAATCATTAGGGACTTTTCTGCATGAAGGAGAGTTATGCGAAGAAATTGCAAATAAAGTTCGCAAAATCTCGAGTTTCCTGGGAGTATAATCGGATGTCGCTCGTTAAAGCTTAGAGTGGCTTGCGCTAATCGTCCATTAACTCGCCTTGGTGATCCAGGAATGGGTTAGAGTGAGCAAACTGCTTTTCTTACTAATGGGTTTTTTGGAAATTAGCTGGGAGTATTCATCAAAATACCTTTTTTTGGCGTCATTTATTTCCTGTTGTGTTAATGGACCCATGTCTTGAGAGATCTTCTTACATTTATGGAAGAATCGAAATACGTAGCCAATGACACGCAAGGCTCTTGCAAATGAAGAGAACCCATCGAGGGCATCTTCCTTTTCTGTCATATAGAAAACTTTGATATTTCTCTGATCTGGGGGTTGAGTTTTCTGGGGTTCCGAGCGTGGCCAACTATTGGGAGGATTGCAGAGTGATTCACCATAGTGAGTGAGAGATCAAGTCTTGTGGTTTGCAGCCGCGGGTGCCTAAGTCAGCGGGATTGTCGCTGCCGTTTACATGTCGCCATGTTGAGTTTGCTACGTAGGTTTTCCATACGTATGGGGGTTTTTCAAGCCAAGCCAGTACGACGGAAAAGTCGCACCATAGCTGTACGCTTGCCTTATGGAGATCAAGTTGAGAACGTACCTGATGGAGGAGTTTGGATAGGAGTACCGCCCCACATAGTTCCAACCGCGGAAGACTGATTGTCTGCAGGTGAGGTACTTTGCCTTTCGCGGCGAGTAGCTGGGTTTTCGCCTTGTTGCCATCGAATGTACAAACATGCACAATATGCCTCTTGCGACGCATCGCAGAATCCATGAATTTGGAGGTTGTGACTGGGTGAGAATCCTATCCAACGGGGAACTTAAATTTTTCCAACTCCTCTTAGGTTTTCAACAAATTTGCACCATACATGAAGGGAATTGGGTTTCGCACATTCACCCCAGTCACTTCCTTCTTTCCATAGTGTTTGCAGGAGGATTTTCACTATAATCATTATAGGCGGTAGCTATCCTGCCGAGTCAAACAGTTTGGCAACTGCTGAGAGTATTTGCCNACTCTTTTTTGCGAGACTTCGTTCTTGACTGAGAAGCTGGCTGAGAGAGGAAAATCGGGAGAGCCCAAGGGCAACTGTTTCCGGAAATGCTTCCTTGAAGGGTAACCGAACTTCGTACCTGCCGTCTGCTCTTCGAATTGTAGTTTTCCTGTAGAGGTCTTCACAGTATTTGTTTTCCATCGAGGGTTCAGTGGGGTCCACCATGTCTTCTTGCTCTCAAAACCGTTTTAGCAGTTCGCTTAGAGAGTCGCCCGATGTTTCTTCGACTCTCGTGGAAAATGAGGACACTCGAGCTTGGACAGGGCCACTGAGAATCCATCCGAAGATGGTATTCTGTGCCAGCAAGCTTCCGACTACATTTTTGATTCCTGACAAAAACAAAGACACCAAGTCTATTTTACCTGGAGTGAAACAAGAGGGATCAGCGAGATCCAACGAGGAAAATTGGGTCATATCAACATCTTTAATGGTGAATTATGGAAGCAACTGGGTAAGTTGTGGTAGAACTATCCACCTTAATTTTTGTATCCGTCGTGCACAGCGTTAGTTGGCATATTTCGGTTGAATTTTGGACAATTCTTCCTCCCATGCCGGAAATCTCGTATCGAGCCCTTTTGGTCGGAAGTCTTAATAAATTTTTTACTCTCGAGGAGATAAATATTTTCTCGGAGCCGGGATCAATCAAGGCTCGTACGCTGTTGGTATCTCCTAAATGTAGTATAGGCACCATCGCAGTTGGGAGTACCACCTTTTCCTTACTGGTTGTATGGTGAGACTGAATGGATCTTTGCTCTTCTTGGTTCGGGGAGTTGAAGCGAGTTCTTCTGTAGACCTAGCTGTAGTGGTGTGTACTGTCGATTTTCGAAATCTGGGCTTCGAGTTCGAGTTGTTCAAGTTTTGAGTTATATGAAGCATAGAGTGATGGGTTTTTGGCAGTACACACATATAAAACTGCTTCCACACTCTCTAGACGTGTGAGAAAACGCTAAGCAGTTCTGGCAGTATCCATTCTCTTTAATAAACTTCAGTCGATCTTGCACCGAAATCGATTTAAATTTGGGGTAAATTTTGAGTGGGTGAGCAGGAGATACTTGGCATAATTTGCAAGAACTGACGTATTTTTGATCGTTGTGGTAGGACCGAACTTCACTGGAGTTAGGGTTGGAGTTGTGAGGTGGGGTTTTTGTTGAGTTGAAATAAGGGTTGAAGTTTTGAAAACTCTGTTTGGGGTTCTGGTAGTGTTTTGCTGTCGGGTTTGAGTTTTGCGTGGTCTTGAACTTTGAAGGGCGGTGGGCATTTAACCTTTCAACTACTTCATACCTCGTTGTTAAAAATGAGTCCTTTTCGGACCAACGAGGAAGGTCTTTCCTAGACGACAGGGATTGTTCCCACAGAGCAAGGGTTTCTTCTGGAAGTTTGGATGTACATATGTGAATCAAGACCGGATCCCAATTTGTGATCGAGACGCCTTGAGCTTTTAAGATAGAGAGGCAGTTATTTATGCTCGTTTGCAACTTTTGCAAAGATTGGCTATTTTCGCTGAAAACCGGAGCTAGGTTTAGCAGAATTTTGAGCTGATTATCAACGAGGATTCTGCGATTTTCATATCGTGATCGCAAAGCTTCCCAAGTGAGTTCAAAGCTTTCATCGCTGAGTGGGTATTGCTTTACAATGATGCCAGCTTGGCCTTTAGTTTTATATCTCAGATGATATAGTTTTTGTGCGGGGGCTAATTTTAGGTGCCTAATGTATACTGCCGTAAACATATCTCGAAAAAAAGCTGGCCATTCTTCATAGCCCCATAAAAATCTTGGGTATCGCAGTTTTCGGTTTGAAAAGTTCTAAAGCTTCGGTCATTTCCGCTTTGCAATTTTGATAGCTATCATTGCATTTATCGAACATTCGTTCGACCGATTCGCTTACGCTTACGTAAGAGTCTGAAAGGTGTATGTATTGATAAGTATCCAACACCAGTTGCCAATTTTGCTAGAGTGGCGAGATTTTAACATTCAAAAAGGCTTCAGTTTGGTCCGAAACTAGTGACGGTGACCACGTGGAGCAAAAAATCTCCAATCTGTTCGTCTCGAAAATGAACTTTTTAAATTCTCGATCAGACCTTGATTTTGAACTGTCTCGCTTTTTCGGGTCTGCGGACAGTTTCGGTTCCACATCCAGTGTGCCCTTATTTGCTGCCTCCATCATTAATATATGTACTTATGTATTTGAAAAACTATCTTAAGTATTTAATTTGAGAAATAAATAGAGGTTTTAAGTTAGTGATATTGAATTCAATTTGGGAGATGATGTCTGAGTATGATTTAAGAACTTAATTTTAGAAATAAAGAGTGGTTTTAATTGAGCGAGGTAATGTCTGAGTAGAATTGGATAAGATCACAATAAATGAGAATTGAGAGACTGAATGAGATTTGATTGAGTTGAGAGAGGGAGAATTTCTTATTGAAAATTTAATTAAAGTGTATAAATATATACTTGTATATGTACCTATCGCAAGTATCTATTGCAAATATGTTTGTTTGTGCTCGTTTAGTTTAACTTCGCAAAATTCCTACACGTCTATTCGGGTTTGTATGTACCTGTATGTATTTATTTAAGGTACGCTTGCAGCTCATAGCCGATGGGTATTTATTCTGAAGTAAAACACTAAGCCATATCTATGGGTAAGTGTGTCGCCAATTTTACTTTAAAATATTCATGTAGTTTCGTTTGTTTGTTCGACTTTCGGTTTCTATCTATTAATTTTCTTAAATTTTTCCGAATTATACTGCGAATGAAATCGTATCCAACTATTAGTACTGGTGAAACTATTTGAAGAATTCACCTTGATTTACGCTACCACCCTAATAAGTGTGCACACCTATATATATGTGTGTATGTACATATATACGTAAATATGTAGGAGTTTTAGCGAGAGTATTACAATTCAAACTGGAGATGTATGAATGTATGTGAAAATGCAGCTTAAGCGAACTTTGAGTGACATTTGTGTTTGTGAGAAATGTGTTTTTTTTGTTAATTGAGGTTAAAAATTAATTTCCAAAATTTATACTAGGGACGCTACCACCCTAACGTGCGTGTGTACATATATGTACATATGTAGGGAATTAGGTAGCCCAAATTAGAGATGGACACGGGCCCGACGGGCCCCTGCGTAAGCCCGCGGGTACGGGACGGAATATTTGCTGTCAGCGCGAATTCGTGCGTGCATGGGCGTTCAGTAAAATTTCATAAACGCACGAATAAGCACTGTTGCGCTTTTGGCAACTTAATAAGGGGTGTGTTTATGCCTTTTAAAAACACGATGCAGAGGGACATCTTTCGTTCGTAGTTTTAAATAAAAGAGGTCGAGATTCTTCTTTAAATATATATACAAAATTCAATTCTTTATTAGAATTCAAGCAAAAAGTGGACTGTAGTAAAAAGGTAATAAACTGATGCAGTCTATGCTGGTCAAGAGTTCTATTGCGAGTGCTCGAGCCCTTCGCGTTGTAAAAATGTTAGGTTTTAACAACTTTTAATATGTGTGTGTACATGTGTTCGTTTTAATCTCTAGGTGCAGACATAGATATGTTCGAAAGCCAATGTATACATTTTTATATAATTCAACATTTTACGTGTAGGTACATTAGGGAAAAATTCAAATTTTGGATGGGTGTGCTATTCAGTATGAATTCAAAATATAAGAATGCGAAACATGTACGCATATATGTATATTTGTGTATATACCACAATTTGTGTCCTCAACAAGCACGAAGAAGCCCGTTGCTAATACTACAAATTTAGATAAGCTTTTGTTTTTATACAAAAAAAATAGTACATATTAAAACTCTTGATAAGAGAAAAGCAAAAAAAGAAATATTTGGAAACCGATAGAAAAAATCAGATACTTAGTAGTTTTGTTTACATATCCGCACATAAAATATCTTCCACTTTTTCTACTTCCCAGAAAATATATTATAAAGTCTTTGATGTAAAAAATTGATTCGCTTAAGTAAATATACATACATAAACACAAAATTTAAAATATGTACATATGTATAGATACAATAAAAGTTGACTCTTTATTTCCGGGCTGGGACGTGTCCTGTCGTGCCGGGCCGGGCCCCACTGAAATTCTTAACGTGCGGGCTCGTGCGTGTTTTTGAAAGTTCATTATACACTCGTGCCGGGCCGGGCCTGAAACTTTAGGCCCGTGCCCATCTCTAACCCAAATTGACAGTTTGTATGTATGCAAATAAATGAGAGCGAAATATTTGAGCTATAGCGAACTTTGAGTTAAATCGATGTTTCGAACGAGTTTTTGAGTTTTGTTATTATCAGCGCATGAAGTTTTAGCGCCCAAGTAATGGATATAAATACTTATATATATATGTATGTACATTAGTGTGTGCCTTTATTGAAGCATATAATATAATGTGCATATAGCCATAGGCATATATTTATATATGTAAAGAGACCGGCGGTTCTGGAATGTGCTTTAGCTGTAAATCTTTATTTTCACATACATATATGTAGGGTGGCCAGATGCGCTGATTTAATCAGTACGTGTGCTGATTTTTTTCTATTGTACTGATTTTTAAGAGCCCGAAATCAGTACGCAAAATCTACTGATTTTTTGAGTTTGTACTGATTTTGTACTGATTTTTACATTTAATACTTTTGTAAATTGGTGTTATTGACATTTAGTTGAGGTTTACATGTGCAAAACAATGGTTTTTGACAACTCATACGTGTGAGCAGATTGAAAGCATTAATTAAATTTAAACCCTTATTAAAAAGGTGTCAGCTTGCAATTGTTTCGTTTCCTAGGATTTCGCAAAATAACAAACTGTTTGGATTCAACCCAACCCAACTTCACGATTTGCAGGTTTTACAGGATTTACAGGAAAAGCTGGTTTCGCCATTAATAAATCTTATGAAAGTTGGTGGTGAGTTAATCATATATCAAATACACTGAGAAGATTACAATAAGAGACAATCTTTCGATTATAATTAAACATCCACTGAGAAATCGGCTGTCAGTATTTCAAACTTAAGACGACTACTGCTACGGTGCAATGTAAGTTCTAAAAATTTGGAAAAGGTGCAAACTACCGACTCGTGGATATGATATATGTAGCTTTACTTTGATTTTTGATGTTCGACCACCTGTAATTTTACTTGCACATACACATTTAATACTATTAAATTTCATTCGTACTCGAAAATTCGTTTAGCGATAATTCGGTAATATACCTTTTAGTCAACATTTTAATGTGAATGTTGTATTTAATAAGCACACCAACTAAATATGTTTTAAATTTATAGCTTAAAATATGCAAACAGATTCTGACTCGAGCTCGTCTTCTACTGAATCTGAATGGGCTACAAATTTTTTTTTCTCAATTCTTATAAATTTTCTAGAAAGTTTGAGACTTCAACTCACATGTCTTTTGTTATAGAATTAACTATATTTTTATAAAAAAATTTAATTAAATAAAGAAAGAAAAAAATTTCAAAACCTGTCAATACATTTTACTACTATTTTCCTGAGCACAGCTGTACATACATACGTAATACCATTGATTTGTTTTAAAGTAATGAATTTTTGTATTGATAAAAAGTCTATTAGTTATTTTTTTCATTAATGCGCTGTTATTTGGTTGTTATATTGTTAATAATAAAAAATACGCTTAAAAATGAGCTAATTTTTATGGCTCTGTACTGATTTTTGATCCCAACTGTACTGATTATGTACCTATAATATCTGGCCACCCTACATATATGTATATGTATATATATGTTTTTACACATGTATGTATATTTCTAAAAAATGGGCGCGAATTTTCTTTAATATATCCCCAAACATTTATGTATGTTCAGATAAATTAAAATGACCTCATACGAAACTAACAGTATAAAAGTTCGTATGTAGGTATATATGTATAAGTGTTTGCAAAAATTTCGTCTTTTATACAAATAAAGTTCGCTATAGCTTTTGCTCAAAGTCGAATAAAGGTCACTTACTGCGGCATCCTACTTTTTTTGTTTATTTCTTTTTGGGTAACCTGATTACGCGTTATGGGCTTTGGGCCTGGGTTCTCTTGAGTGTTCACTTGGTCCCTTTGCTTTCATTGGCGTGATTTTTGATAGGTGGTGTCGGGTAGCTCATTTTGACCTCAGTCTGCTGCCTTTGCTCCACACAACTTCCGAATGGGTTCCTTTTAACTGTTGGTATAGCCTGTTTTTAATTTTATTCACTTGGCTTATATATTTTTATTTGTTTTTTTCGACCAATTTTTGTTTTCGCGTTTTACTTAGTTGCACTTAGTTTTATGATTTTTATTTTATTTTTTCGTTTGGTTTTTAATTGAATGTTCACTCCGAGCTTGTGACCGCCGCCGAATTTAGATAAATCGCCATTAAACTCGGAAAAAATAGGGGTGGGAGTTGTGTATTAAAATGGGTACGAGTACTTTAAATGTATCGTATTAGAGTGCGTGGCCGATTCAATCGTAAATTGAACGGCTCGAAGGATCATTGGCGAGATGATAGCAAGGTTGCTAATATCTCGCGGGGGTGAAAGAAATAAAAAGAGCAAAATGTACAACTGTAAAATTCAAATTAACTTTAATTACAAAAAATTATGAATTCAACGATTATATACAAGCGATCTTGGTGATATATGAATGTATATTGAGTTTAAAAGAAGATCCGTTTCGGTGGACGGTCGCAGACGTATTGCAGCTTTGTTCTTACAAAGTGCGTGTGTTTGTAAATTCATGTTGACGAGTATGAGAAAAAGTTTTTTGAGGGATTTCAGAGCTCTATGAGGTTGCCAGCTCTCTCATCTTGAACAAGTATTAAGAAGTGCAGTTAGACTCATCTTCTTCAGAATAGAGTCTAGTTTATTGTGTAAAAATTTCAAATCAATCGATGCACAAACGTCTGAGATATAACGAGTTTAAATGAAAATTTCGCAAAAATTGGCCGCTGTGAAAAATCAAGTTTTGTGGCTTTTTCGACATGAAGGCGTGAAAGCAAAAAATCGCCCTGGGACGATATGCGCAGAGAGAGGAAATTTTTATTTCACGCATTGCGCGACCCTTTATGTATAGATCTTGGACTCAAGTAGAGATGGGCACGGGCCTAAATTTTCAGGCCCGGCCTGGCACGAGTGCAAAATCAACTTTTAAAAACACGCACGAGCCCGCACGTTAAGAATTTTAGTGGGGCCCGGCACGACGGGACACGTCCCAGCCCGGAAATAAAGAGCCAACTTTTATTGTATGTATACATATGTACATATTTTTAATTTTGTGTTTATCTATGTATATTTATTTAAGCGAATAAATTTTTTACATCAGCGATTTTTATAATATATTTTCTGGGAAGTAGAAAAAGTGGAAGGTATTTTATGTACAGATATGTAAACAAAAGTACTAAGTATCTTGTTTTTTCTATCGGTTTCCAAATATTTATTTTTTTTGCTTTTCTCTTATCAAAAGAGTTGTGATATGTACAATATTTTGTTTGTATAAAAAAAGCTTATCTAAATTTGTAGTATTAGCAACGGGATTTTTCGTGCTTATTCGTGCTTTTATGAAATTTTACTGAACACCGCACGAGTTCGTGCTGACAGCAAATATTCTGGCCCGTACCCGCTCGTGCCCATCTCTAGACTCAAGTAAAGAAACTAGCTGCGTATATACTGATACGGCAGAATTAGGAGGAATGTAGCAAAGAGCTAAATAAACATGACTCAAACCAGCCTGTACACTTATATATTTAAATTCGGTATATTCAATGACAGGAACACTAACTACCTTGGATGGTACCGACGAATGCACCACAAAAAGAACATCACCGCCGATTCTGCCCTCGCGGTCGCTCTTGTATATTTGATATTCATTTGGAGGAATTCCGGAATTAAAAATATGAGGTTTGAGCCATGTTTCGGCCAAGGAAATAATATTATAGTTGCCGGTAAAACCTTTTAAATATAACTAAGTTAATTTGGTATTCAAACCTCTAACGTTGCGATAGTAAATACTTATGGCCCTATTATGTATGGCGACTGATAGCCGATGGGCAACCATAGACTGAAATTCACATTACGTATGGCAACTCGTTACTGACTGTCGGCTACTGGCAAGGCTACTGAGTCTGGTAGCGCAATTTTCTGTATTATGTATGGCTACCATCTCTTTTTATAGTATACACAAACGTCAAATTGAAGCAACTGATCAGCATCAGTCGCCATTGTTATATTTTGCGAATTTTGGAGGAGAAAGCTGAAACAAATTGTGATCATGGCAGAAAAATTGTAATAATATGTAAATTCTATTTATATTGGTATATAATTAACAGTTTGATATTTCTCCAGGCCAGTGAAAATTACTAATAGCAAGCAATTTGAGCGTTTGGTGCATTTAATGCAATCCAACCCAGGAATTGCAAGAGCAACACGGACGTTTGGACAAAACAAAATCCAAAACGACGAACAATGGGACGCTTTTGCTACCGAAATAAATAGTTTCGGCCTTCCAAGTAGATCTGGAAAAGAGTGGCAGCGGGTAATAATTTTTACTATAATATATGTACATACTGCAATAAGCATTTTCATGTACATATGTATACATACATTTGTGTAGGTATGGATTAACTACAAGGCCAAAACCAAGAAGAAAATTAGTGCAAATAACCGAAATATAAGAACGACTGGTGGAGGCCCATCAGAGGAGCAACCGTTATCTGCACTCGAGCAAGTGGTAGCAGATATTTTACACACAGACGTAAGTGTAAATCCGCCCGGCAATGTGTTTGGTATTGTGGAAATGGACGAAGACGAACAAAACGTAGAGCCGTCATGCAGTTCTTCGCCAAATATTACGATAACTGTTCCAAAAAAAAGGCAAAAAAAAAATATTGAAGAAATGAAAGTGGACATGTTAAAGTCGCAAACTTTAAATAACTCGGATATAGCACAAAATTAAAAAAAAATGGAAAAAATACATACAAAATTAGCAAATATGCTGAAAAAAATCATGATTTAAAAAAAGAAAAATTTGAACTATTAAAAGAAAATATGAATTCAGAGGCAGAACTTAAACGAAAGAAAATTCAACTTATCGAATACCAATTAAACAATATGTAATTTTAAAGATTCAATCAGGCAGTCTCTGCAATTCACTTCCGAGTGAATTTCAATCCCTGCCAATTTGAATTCAACGCGAATTCGACTCAAATTCTCTCGAAAGTGAATTACAGAACCTGCCTGTATATTTAAGAGTTTTGTTTGGGCGGATTATAAATCGCACCAAGTTACCTAAGGACTGAAGAACTGAACTTTAATTTATTTGAAAGTATTTTAAATACTCAAGAGGCTTTTTGTAGTACAAATGAAAGTGTTTTTTTTTTATTCATGAGTATATATTTTTTATTTAGTGAAATGTGAACTATTTTTATTGATTTTTTAAATCAATAAAGAGATTTTATTGTAATAAAGAATTCATTAAGTTATTTCTTATTTATTGTGCTAGAATATTATGGATGGTTGTTACAAAATCAGAATTTATATCTGTGTCTATAGTCTCGGCTTCAATACTGGGTTCTTCAAAACCTGACTCAAAGCGACGGCCAATATTGTAAATAGCACAACAAGAATTAATGATGGCAGTTGCTTTCTGTGGAGCATAGTGAAGTCCGCGCTCAGAAGATAGGCATCTATATTTTGATTTCGAAACGCCAAAAGTCCATTCTATAATGTTCCTCGCCTTGCAATGTACTTTGTTGTATTTGCTTTCTGGACTGCCACTCACTGCGGCTCGAAATGGAGTCATCAGATATGTCTCCAACGGAAACCCAGCGTCACCTACCGCAACAAACACATTTGTTAATTCTTTTACAAGTAGGCAGATGGTGGGACCAGTTTTCGGATCGCTATCGCAACACTTCGACATTCATCACACGTCGGCAACTTGCTATATCGATCCGAAAATTGTTGCTAACTGGTTACAGAATCTTCCTACAGGTTGTGCTTCAAAATATCACCTAAAAGCCATGTGTTTTCTCCTGTGTTATTCGACATAATTTCCTTGAGTCTACTATTATTCCATATGAAGGCATCATGTGTGGCTCCTGGATATCTGGCATCGACATACGTTATGTTCATATAGAAATCGCAAACCTAGGTAATAATGAATTTGTGTGTATCCACGATAAATATGCGGAAACTAACTTACCATTAACGCGTTTATACTGAAAAATCCTTTTCTGTTTATGTACAGGTGTTGCAGTTCCTTTTCAGGTGCTAAAATGTGCACATGAGTGCCATCCACACAACCCAACACACCTGGAAATCCACTCTTATTGTAAAAATTTATTTTGCTTTTATTCTGCTCTTCTTCGCTAGTGTCAAATTTGATGTGCTTGGGACAAATCTTCTGCTCGATTAAAGAAGTAACTTCAGTTAGTATTACTGACATAGTGGGTTGGGAGATGCCAATATTGAAATCATTCCCTTGGCATTTTTGATAACTCCCTTCCGCAAAGAAACGGAGCACTGCGCAGAGTTTAAGAATTGGAGGTACCGCAGTTGATCGAAAGCTGCTTTTGAAATGAGGGGATAGTTCCTCCAACAAATATACAAATGCTTCCTTTGATATCCGAAAATTGCTTACGAACNGGCAAGTATACAAATGCTTCCTTTGATATCCGAAAATTGCTTAGGAACCTGGAGGTATAGATTTGTTAAAGAAATATGTACATGACGATTTTTTTAACTTACTTAACAACTGGTAGATCCAAAGGATTGGAGCGATCCCTTATGTGACGCCGTATTAGAGCAACGTTTGCACACTCTTCCCGAGTTGCGAAAAATAACTCATAGCTGCTGATCATTCTGCTTTCTTTATTTTTAAAAATATAAATGTTTCCCAGTTGTGACGATTTTTTTATTTGTTTACATAAATTGTCAAACACATCGGAGCAAAGTTGCCAATTACTTCGAAATGTACATGTCAAAAAAGCAAACTCAGGGATGTTTTCTGCGTTTTTCTGTATACTGAGATTAATCGCTATACGTAATACAAAGTACGACACTGGTAGCCGCGGCTACTAGACCGGCAACTAGACACCAGTCGCCATACATAATAGGGCCATTAAATTAGACTTGCGAGTTAGTTTTTTGAATCAGAATTAAGATTAGAAATTTTAGCTACGTTGCATAGTTGGACGTTCCCATATAAGCTGCGGCTAAAAGTAGTAACCGTACTAGAAATTCGCTGAAATTTGGTATATGCGCTGTTCGTAGGTTTGCCAACCGTACTATAATATATAGTATTGTACTGTTTTTCCCGTCGGCGAACTACAGTATCGGTCATATCTATAGCACGCCTTTTCAAAGTGATATTGTGTGCCACTTAGGTTTATTTATTTATTTTTAAGAATTTTCAATTAAAATACAGTTTTTTCTCTAACAAAACTCATATAAACCCAAGTTTAAAAACTTATAGAACCCTACAAAAAAATGCAACAAATTTTGACCTAAATTTCAAACTTTTTTCTCGGAAGTGTTTGAATTTTTCTGAATACACAGTTTTATAGCCCAATCAATTTAAGTCTGATAATGTGCAAGTTTCGAGTGGCTAAAAGTTACCGCTGATTTTTTAGAATTTTTTTCGCCAAGGATGTTGCGGTTTTCTTCCATATACAAATAAATTGAGTTTATTCATTATATGGAAGCCAATGCGACAAAAAAAAATTCTAAAAAATTAACGGTAACTCGTAGCCACTTGAAATTAGCACGTTATCAGACTAAAATTGCAGCGGCTAAAAAACTGTATACTCGAAAAAATTCTAACACTTCCGAGAAAAAAGTTTGAAACTTAGGTGAAAATTTGTTGCACCTCTTTGAAGTTTTCTACAAATTGTTAAACTTGGGTTTATATGGGGTTTGTTAGAGAAAGAACTGTATTTTAATTGAAAATTCTTAAAAATAAATAAATAAACATAAGTGGCACACAATATCACTTTGAAANGGTTTATATGGGGTTTGTTAGAGAAAGAACTGTATTTTAATTGAAAATTCTTAAAAATAAATAAATAAACATAAGTGGCACACATTATCACTTTGAAATGGCGTGCTATAGATATGACCGATACTGTATATACTGTTGGAAAAAAATATAGTACCTATATTTCTTCAATTATAAATACAAATATATTTCAGTAGTTTGCCTGAAAAATGTGTATTAAAATGGATGACCTTTCTACTGAACCAACAATATTAAATGAAATATTCTTCGGCCGCTGTGGTGCAGTGGTAAGCAGTGCGCGCTTCCACTCCGCAGGACCCGGGTTCAAACCCTGGTCAAACCAACATCGCAAAAATATAGAAAAAAGGTTTTTTCTTAACAGCGGTCGTCCGTCGGCAGGCAATGGGAAACCTCCGATTGTATTTCTGCCATGAAAAACAGCTTCTCATAAAAATACAATCGCCGTTCGGAGTCGGCGTAAAACTGTGGGTCCCTTCGCCTTGTGTGACAATATCAAGGCGTACGCCACAAGTCGGAGGAGAAGCTCGGCCAAACACTAACACATGTGTAAGCGCCAATCTATTATTATTATTATTCTTTAAAGTAAAAGGTCATTTTGAGTTTATAATGAAAAAAGGTAACATATTTTTAAAAACACTGAGAAAGAATTAAAACAAATGTGCTTAAAATTATTTCATTTCTACCAACAACTTCGGCATTCACAGGAACATGGAAAAACACTTAAAAATCGTTTTTACTTTTTCTTTTAAATAAAATACTATATACATTCGAAGTGTACTATATTTTTTCCAATTTTTTTGAAAAAGTACTATTAATATCTTAGAAAATGTTGGCAACCCTAGCTGTGGAAAATGGTAAAATTCAACGTGGTACTATGCTCACATCTCTCGTGGGCGGAAGTTGTAAATGTTATCCGATTTTGGTGCAATTCAGAGTATATGCTGGTTTTAACGAAAAAAGCATAAATCTGAATGATCGTCAAAATCCGTTTACATTATCGCCCAGTAATTCTAGAAAAAAAGGAGCAAATAAAAAACATTTTTTTTTATGAGATTCGGTGTGCAACTTTTTTGGCTCCAAGTACTAAATTTTATGAATTTTGGAGTAAATGAACAGGACCACTTATTTTATTTCTAAAGAAGTTTCTATTTCTTCATTTTAAAAATGACAAAACGAAAACATTTACAATACCTGCATACTAAGTTATGTGCACGATATGTATTTACACTGAAGCTTTAAATTTTACCTACACTTTATACCACAAAAGCTGAGCTAAGGCCAGCATATTATTTATTTTATGTACACACCAGAGTATTTCCCTTCAGCTCTACAATAAAAATTCGATAAATTTTACAGGAGGTGGGTCTATAAAAGGAAGAATAGAAGCTGAACTCTCAGTTCCTCGCAGCTGGAACTATTTGAGATATGACACGCATATTTAATGTTTACTTGTCCTAAGTATTATTTAGCTCGCTTCCTAGGTCCTTTTTAAATACCCCTTTTTAAAGTAAGCACTAGACAAATTTTATACTCACAAAATTATGTAGAATTTCAAAGTAAACTATTTTATACATTTCAAAAGATTTATAAAAATTTAAAGCAATGCTTGACCACATATATATTCAAAAACTGCTCATCAGTCAAATTGGCTTTTTATATATGCGCACAAGTGGAAAAATTAATTCAAATTACTTGCGACAAAATCAAAATTTTTTCGTACAAATTTTCTTCTTATTGTTCCTGCTTTATGTTCGTGTCATGATTGCAAATATGCATTTCAATCAAAAATTCCGTTTTGGTTTGGGTTAGATGAATATTTTGCTATGTATCTGCGTAAATCCTTTTTCAGAATTCGCTCACCCGTTTTTACTACTTTTGGCCGCTGTAGTCTCATTGTTCGTTGTTATAACTTTTATTAGGTTTATACTCAAACTCGCGAACAAACGCCCTGGTCGGCCAAAAAGAATTATTTTGTAGTGAATCAAAATCTTCAGGAGCTACATCAATTTTAAAAGATGAAATATCGCGATCGTATTTAAAATTAAATTTACGAATTAATACATCTTTAGTTTTAATTTTAGTCGATATGTATGACTGTATATCATCCGAATAAGTGTCTTTAACAAATCTAGAGGCAAAGATTGATCTTCTTGGGGGAATTACAACTAACTTTTTGATAATGATGTCTGATATGCGGGATTCCGAGTTATTTGGAGGAACTATGTTAGACGGTGCAGCGTCAGATGTTGATGGCAACACTGTTAAATCAACGGTTTGATTGACGTTATTATGGATAAGGCTTTAGATAGCAGAGGCTATAATGCCTAAAGGCATGGAGGAGAAGGATTAATAAGTTCCAAGGACTGGGATGAAGGATTTTTCTGAGTAGATTCAGTGACTATCTTTTTTGGTGGACTACTAACACGCCTACATTTATTTTCTCGGCTATCCTTAGAGTGTGGAGGGTTGTCGACACAGCGAAGGCCCTTCCCTCATTAATAGCGTCTAGCACCCTACCGCTCAAACCAGCACATTTTATATGGGCAATCCCATTGCAGAGCCAGCATGACACATAGGAGTCGCTTTTAACGTGGCAATTGGTATTAATACACGACATGTTTAAAATGATATTTCTTTACAGGTTTTAGGTTTATATAAAATATTAGAAGCAAAAAAGCCAAAAAGTTTTGAAAACGATGTTTCAGAGAACCAATTAGCTGGTAAATATCTGTTTGAAAGCTATGTAGCGAACAGTTTTAAATATACTGTATTTTGACACTTAATAAACACAACGCAAACAGCTGTGATAAGGATGAAACAGCAGAGATGACAAAAAGGCAAAAAGAGCAAAATCAATGTGCAGAAACAAAAACAATTGTAGTTATGGATAAACAAAATCAATTGACAACAACAATATATTATATGAGACAAAATACTCGGCACATGCAATTAAGAACATCAAGTTAGATTAATCAACTTTACAGGAAATTTTTATATTTTACTTATCTTTGATTGTGCACCAGACGTTTTATTCCGGTTAATTTCTCACAGTTTTAAAATATGACTTTTTCGTGTAAAACGTGGTTTCTCCGAACACTGTGCGTCGCACAGTGGG